GAAGAGGTGTCATTCTCAATTTCTCATGTTCCATTATCTTTGCTTTCTAGCTTTTCTCAAGCTCATATGTTTGTGAAAAAAATAATTAGAAATTATTAGCATTTAAGAAAGTCAAATTCCATAAGGTTATTCAAAAAATGAATGATAATTTGGACCGTGGCTCGTTGGCCACTCATCTCCCACCTATCTCGTTTAAATAAACATATATTTTGACTTGCATTTGTATCTTGGCACATAGTTTGTGTCCAATGGGAAATTGAAGATTCTTAGCCTAATTTCTACTTATTCTTTAGATTTTATTTATGTTTTCTTTTTTTTTTCTTACCAAACATAACTCGAACAGTTCGCTAAGTTCATGCTAATGTTAATAATGATAAAGTATTTTTTAATGGAAATTAATAACACTTCGGATTATTAATTTACAAGTAGCACTAACATATGTATGTGCATTGGCTTTGCACAATTTTCTAAATTTCGTCTTATATATAGATTACTGCAACATATATACATACATATATATATATATATATACTCAGTTTCCTTTTATAGTGCTTTCTCTTTCTGCTTAAATGAAGATTAATTAAGAGTTAAACGGGTGTGACATGTGATGGATGGACCGACTTTAATTAGTTATTGGTGCATTCTACTTCGAATTTGAACCATTAATTTGTGTATGTCCACATGATCTCTTCAATTTTAAATCTGATTAAGAGGTGTTATTTGGTAATGGAAATCCCCTGCGAGTCCACTCTCGCATGAGGTTTATTTAATTAAATTTCCCTAATGTTCAGACATCAGAACTAACCATTCGAACAAAAAATTAAAAAATTTATAACAATTAATATTCAATTATCTAGTTAGTTTATTCATTAGTGATGTCTTGTTTCAAAACTGCACATATTCCTTACTTAAGAGTGTGGATATTATAATATACACACATCACATGCAATTTGATTATAATAATACAACGATGAATGATAAACCTAATAAGAACGTGGATATTATAATATATATATAGTGCGAAAGCTCTTATATATGGTTATGATAATTTACTAGTTCTACATGGGCTCCAATGTTGGAGAGGCCACCAAATTATTTGCCTTTTAAGTAGGACCAATAAATGTTGAATAAACAAGTTTCGTGGTAATATTTGGTTTATTAATTGTAGGAATTAAGAATTAGAAGTTAGAAGTGAGTGGTGGATTAGTAAATTAACTATATCGTATTAGAATTTTTTTTATTGGATAATGGACGGTTTGCGTACGTGTCAGTCCATTCTCTTGGAGTTATTAAAATGACAGTTTTATTTAAATTTCGATTGATTTATGGGTTATATCAAAGCTCAATGCACTATTTAAAAGTTAGACACATTTTTTTTTTCAATTTGATTTTTTTCTCTCGATATTAACCTAAGTTTCAGTTCGATGAATTAGGTTAACCATTTGTCTAATATCTAATAAAGAAAAAGCTCTGTGGACAGAAAATAATGAGCTATGGCCACGTGGGTTTTTGGTTGTTTTGACGTAAAATTAATTGATTTATTAGTCTTTTTTATTTTGTTTTGTTTTGTTTTAGAAAAGACAACAGTTGGGGTCGTCGTTGACATTAGAGTAAGTAGGTTGAGATCTTACTAACAGACTGTTCGGATCCAATAACAAGAAACAATGGGGTGTCTCTCAATCTGTCCCTTGTTGTCCCTAAAGGCCATGAGTCGATACACCAACTTCTTATTATATATATATTATATACCCACACACATGCACTTCACAAATAATGTTCTTGCCACGTCAACATTTATGTTATCCACCCAACAGATCGTGGGTGAGCGGTCAAATTTGGAGTAGGAGATAACTCCACTTTGAAGTAGAGTTTATATGATCCATATACAAAGATTGTTTCCGGATCGAAAGTTTACCTAGTCAGCGTGTACGAAGGGTAACAGCTAGGAGTCCTCCGGTATTAAAAAAAACATTTATGTTATCGTCACAAAGCTCGTATTATACATCATAACAAAAACCCTGTACCAATTGCTTACATATATCTTTATATATATAGAAGTGGTGTACAAGAGGGTGCCACGTGTCCTCTATAAAAATATAAAAGATCTTTTTTATACATTAAATATTTTTCTACTTCCAATTCACATTACTTTCATTAAATCAAATGAGTAATCATTTTACCACTAAAAAATAGGAGAAAATTATGGAGGTTAATGAACGGATTCAATGTCAATGCATTGAACACAAAGTTCGAGGAGTTAGAGAGAAGATGATATGTATATAAATCATATGTGTGTAGATTTAATTTGTTCTATTTTTTTTTTTATTTTTGAAACTGGAGCACTTTCTTTTGTCATGACTAATCACAATCGGAGCGTCTCTTTGCGATACATCACAAACGAGGTCAGTAATATAAAACACAGATTTTTTGTTTCTTATTAATTTTTCTTAAATATTTGATATATATCCATCTTAACCCGTATTTGATTTGTTTTTTCAAAAACCCTAAAAAGAAACTGATTTACTGAAATCAAACCTCAAATATGTGTTTGCATTGAATAATTGTACTTTAGAACTTTACAAATCAAGACCCATCTATCGTTTACTATACAATTATTTAATTTTATGTTTTTTTTTTATATTATTTTTTTGTGGGTTGTTTTCTTCACCGCATCCATAGTTTATAAATATAGGGGAAATAGATCTAAGTTTTATTGGGTATTTTCAAACTAAATTACTGATTTTGTTCCTTATTTTTTTGAGAACTAATAATAAATTGTTTTGGAGTGGTTCGTGTAGG